GAAAAATTATATTACTAAAATATATACTCATACATAAAACATATTAAAATACACTAACAACAGCCATTTATGTTCATCCATATTTACTTTTTCAGGAACATTAAAATCTATATAAATTAGAAGAAACCCAGGGCCTAAAGATGACTACAAATAAGATTTTTAATGAAAATTTTACAAGTTTGTAAAATTTTACATGTCTCGTATTACAGATTCTGTATATAGAATCTATACATCTCCTCTTGTATACAGAATCTGTAATACAAGAACCTGATATGCTGAGTCAATTGTTACTAAAGCAACTCTGGGTTTTTTTTCAATGACTTCCTTGGAGGGTTGAACTTCCTAAAAGAGGAGAAAGTAAAGGCAAGAGATAGTGTGCAGTTAAAGGGCAAAACAATACCATGCATTTTACTCCTTAGCAAAAAAGCTGAGGAAGACGGAAAGGGCAGAAAGTGCAGAGAGAAGTCAAGGAGAAGCGAGAGTGCTTTCTCCTCTTCAGTATTTCACCAGGCCCTCTTCCCCTCACAAACTGGGATGAACTCAACTCTCTGCTTTCTCTAGCCTTGGTCCTGGTTTGCCCAGTCTTGTAACAGAAAATCTGGCAGTTGTAAGGGTTGAGTAACCCTTATCCAAAATACTTGGACCAGAACTGTTTCAGACTTCTGTGGATTTTGCAATATTTGCATATACGTAACAAGATTATCTTAGGGATGGGACCCAAGTCTAAACATGAAATTTATCTGTGTTTCGGCCAGGCGCAGTGGCTCACGCCTGTAATCCCAGCACTTTGGGAGGCCGAGGCAGATGGATCACTTGAGGTCAGGAGTTTGAGACCAGCCTGGCCAACATGGTGAAACCCCGTCTCTACTAAAAATACAAAAAAATTAGCTAGGCGTGGTGGCACGTGCCTATAATCGCAGCTACTCGGGAGGCTGAGGCAGGAGAATCGCTTGAACCCAGGGGGTGGAGGTTGCAGTGAGCCGAGGTGGAGCCACTGCACTGCAGCCTGGGAGACAGAACAAGACTGTCTCAAAAAAAAAAAAAAAAAAAAAAAATTTAGTCCGTGTTTCATATACACCTTATACACATAGCCTGAAGGTAATTTTATACAATATTTTTTAACAATTTTGTGCTTGAAATAAAGTTTATATGCATTGAACCCTCAGAAAGCAAGTGTCAGGTGTGGAATTTTCCACTTGCGGTGTCATGTCTGTACTTAGAAAGTTCTGGATTCTGGAGCATTTCAGATATTGGATTTTTGGATAAAGGATGCTCAATCTACATTTTAAAATAGTATTTTTGGCTGGGCATGGTAGCTCACGCCCATAATCCCAGCACTTTGGGAGGCCAAGGCGGGTGGATCACCTGTGGTCAGGAGTTCAAGACCAGCCTGGGCAACATGGTGAAAACCCATCTCTACTAAAAAATACAAAAATTAGCTGGGCTTGGTGGCAAGTGCCTGTTATCCCAGCTACTCGGGAGGCCAAGGCACGAGAATCGCTTGAACCCAGGGGGTGGAGGTTGCAGTAAGCCAAGATGGCGCCATTGCACTCCAACGTGGGCAACACAGCGAAACTCCATTTAAAAAATAAAATAGACCCCTAACCTTAGCTGGCCCCTCAATGCAGTTCAGTAATCTATCTCATAAATTCTTGGCTTCCTACACTGGCCCATCCCCAAAAGACTAAAGCTTTTCAACCCTTTGCCATTATCCTTCAGCTTTCCACCCAACCTCTGCAGTCCTTTCATATGTGCAGATGAACCTGCTATACAGACAAAATAGCTCCCAACATTCAAGCACTCCTTTTACTTTCTGTCCCTGGAAAGCGGCCTCATCCTTAACTGCCTTCCTGTCTCAGAGAAGGGGACTCACTTTCTCTCTCCAGGACTCACCTAACAGCCATCTCCTGCAGCCCTGGACCCCAGTCCCTTTCCCCTTCTCTGGAACCTGCTCCACTAGCCCTTCCTTTATCTTCAGGCTCTCTCTGTTCAGTGATTTTTTTTTTCCCCTAAGTCTATAAACATGTTCAACTTGCTTTCGCCATCCAGGCAACCATCAAAAGCTATACTCCCACCTCTTCAGTCCCTTTGCTGACCAAAATGGCAATTTTTCCAAACCGCTTCACGTAACTCCACTTCCACTAACTTCTTAATCCATCACAGCTCATCTCTTTCATCTCCTCTCCACTAGCCCATACCTTACTGAACCTACTCTAATTTAGATACCAATGACCTCCTAAATGCCAAACCAAAAAGCCTGCTTTCTCCTCAGTGGCTGATACTTATAGAAACTCTATCCTTAACAGTGTTGGAAACACTTTTTCTCCTCCTTCTCTTCCCAAAACCTCCTGGTTTTTCAAGGATTCTTCTCTGCCTACTTCTTAAATACCTAAAGGAGCTACACTTGACACTCTTACTCGACAAGCATGCTCTGGGGACTACCATCAATTTCCATATACGATACTGCCTATATTCTGTTGTCCTAAATTTCTTCCTCTAGCAACAAACTCTCTCAAAAGCACCAAAGTCATATTTTCAACTGGCTAGAGAAAACATCCACCAGCAAGCAACTCAAACTATAACAGATCCCAAATATTTCCCCTGCCCCCACCTTCCTCCACCAAACCTACTCCTCCTTTCAGGTAATGGTATGACCAGGCATCCAATCTCCCAAGGTGGAACACTTAGGGTCATCCTTGAATTATCTTTCTTCCTCAAACCCCTAGCCTTTTTTATCTATCATCAAATCTCATCCATTTTTCTTCCTAATCTCTTTTGAATGCAGCTAACTCTCTGTCCCCTTCACTATTATTAATGTACTTCATATCATCTTATATATGAACCATTTCAGCAGCTCACTGCCACTAATCTCTCCCTCACTTAGTCTTATTCCACATACAAGGATTATCATCCTAAAATAAATTCAAAACTGAAACAGGATACTGTATTTTTCCCTATCAGACTGGCAAAAACTAAAAAGAAAAATAATACTGTGTTGGTTCGAGTGTAAGGAAATGAACATTCTCATAAATTTGGTGAAGGGAATATTAAGGCAAAATACCAACGGAATTTAACCAAACTTCAAGCATAACCAAACTTGTAAATGTGTATACCCTTTGATCTATCAATTCTATTTCTACAAATTTATTCTAAGGAATAAAACAGAACATACACAAAGATATATAAGTGTATCCTAAAGTTCCCATCATTGTCAGCAAAGGCCAGAACCTTTTTTTCTTTTTTAACATACTACACTATATGCCTGGAATGCCTTTCTGCCACCCATGCCCTTCATCCTGTAAAACTAGAATTCATCCTTGATTTTAAAGGTCAGCTACTCCATCCCATCTCCACAGCAGTGAGTCACACCTCTGCATCACACTACGAACTTTCTCTCCCACAGATGATCAAAAGCTCTCCAGGGATAATAGTTTTATGTATGTATTTCTTCAGCACATATCTGTATCTATACGACCTACAGCAATGTCTCACACATTAAGAGTCCAGTAAACGCGTTGAATAAAGGCATTTTGTTCCCCTTTCCACAAATAATTCTTTGATTTTCAAAATCTCAAGAAGTTTTCAAAGGAGTTTCAAAATCTCAAAGAAGTTTCCTAAAATGCTGGTAGACTCCAATATACTAATATTAAATTCCTGTATTAAAACAGGTATTCGAGCAAAGCAAACATTCTTGTAAATTTATAAATAGCCTATGAATCCTTTATATTTTAAGTTTAGTTCCTTAAGGCATAAGAATTTCCATACTGGGTCAGAACCGTGGCCTAGCCAATCTAGAATTTTATCTCCGAAATCGGTACCAAGAAGTATGTTGTAAGAAGATAACGGCTGTCCTTCCAGATGCTAAGATAAACATGTAAAGGTGTGTTTCAAAATACTTTACTTCTCTCCAATAACCTAATATGAATCCATCATACTTGATACCATGTTTTGGAATCATGTTTCATACTATACCAGAACTCTTTTTCATGTTATCTGTTATGTAGCGTTTTACATATATTAGTACATAAGTATTACATAAACAGTACTGTGTATCCATATTCAAGAAAATAAGTAGCAGCATGGTATCTCACACCTGCAATCCTCCCACTTTGGAAGGCCAAGGCAGGTGGATTGCCTGAGCTCAAGAGTTCGAGATCAGACTGGACAACACGGCAAAACCCCATCTCTACTAAAAATACAAAAAATTAGCCAGGCGTGGTGGTGCGTGCCTACAATCCCAGCTACTCGAGAGGCTGAGGCACAAGAATCACTTGAACTCGAGAGGAAGAGGTTACAGTGAGCTGAGCTCGTGCCACTGCACTCCAGCCTGGGCGACAGAGCAAACAAGACTCTCCCTCCAAAAAAAAAAAAAAAAGATTGTAAGTAGCTTGGTTAGACTTTTTTTTCCCAACTCCTTTTAGGTTTCAAGAGCGTTCATAATTCTAATAAAGGCTGGTAACAGCCTAATCACATCCTTCATGATTCCAAAGTTCAGTTCTATTCCTTTCGGGTTTTTTTTTTTTTTTTTTTTTTTGAGAAGGAGTCTTGCTCTGTCACCCAGGCTGGAGTGCAGTGGCACAATCTTGGCTAACTACAACCTCCAGCTCCCCAGTTCAAGCGATTCTCCTGCCTCAGCCTCCCGAGTAGCTGGGATTACAGGTGCCCGCCACCACACCTGGTTAATTTTTGTATTTTTAGTAGAGACGGGGCTTCACCATGTTGGTTGGCCAGGCTGGTCTCGAACTCCTGACCTCAGGTGATCCACCTGCCTCGGCCTCCCAAAGTGCTGGGATTACAGGCGTGAGCCACCACGCCCGGCCTCACTTTTCTTAATTTTCAGTTATCTTGTAGGCTGCAAATGGAAACAAGAATGCAGGTAAGTCTATGAGATTTACTTTAACTCTACAGACATTTAAGTCAGGAAAATTTCTCCCCTGATGTAAATTAGAAGAGGCAGCCTTCAAAAACACCTTTGACAATTACTGTACCCCAAGACTTACAGGAAATCATAAGGTAGTCCTCACAGTTGCCTTTGTCATCATCCTGCTGGTCCACAGGGATCCCATTGGCATCTATGACTGCTTCAGAGGCACAGTCTGCTACCAATACTTCTTCTGAAACTACGTCGGTAGTCAGAGGATCAGTGACAATTTCTGCTTCCACTACACTATCATGAACCACATGTTCAACATGTCCAACATGTCCAACGTCAGACACATGTATAGAATCACCCGTCAAGACGTGTTCGGGCATAGACATTGAGGCTGAAGTAATGTCAGAAGCTAAAACATCATCTGGGACTGTGCAATGTGCTAAAGAAACTTCTTCAGTTACATCTGAGTCCAGCACTTGCTCAGGAATGATGACCGTTTCAGATACATCTGCTTCTTCCATGATATCTGGGCACTGAACATCTTCTATAACAACGTCCTCAATAACATCTTGGATTACAACCGAATCGGGGTCATCAGGAACAAAGTTATGCACAGTTATGTCTGAATCCACAACATCTGAAACAAAAACAGTTTCTTGTACTTCCACAACAATTTGATCACCATCCATGTGTGTACCATCAGCTCCTTAAAAAAAAATTAAAATGACAAATTTCAGGTAAGTATGCATGACTACAATTAACGTAAATGTTATTTAATTTCTACTGGGAAAACAGACTAGCTCCTCAGTTTTCTTAAACATTAAGATAGATTAAAGAAATAAAGAGGGAATCTATTTTTGAATCAGATGTTTTTAACCCAAGAACTTTTGTAATCAAATCAATAGATTTTTAAAAATTAGGAGAACAAAGCAATTGAGGCAGTCACAGAAGAAATATATACATGAAAGTAAAATTCTAGGCACACTAATAAAATCCATATACAGCCAGGTGCAATGGCTCACGCCTGTATTCCCACCACTTTGGGAAGCCAAGGTGGGGGGATCACTTGAAGCCAAGAGTTTGAGACCAGCCTGGGTAACACCACCGCGAAACCCTATCTCTACTAAAATTACAAACATTAGCCGGGCGTGGTGGCACAAGCCTATAATCCCAACTTCCTGGGAGGCTGAAGCAGAACTGCTTGAACCCGGGAGGCCAACGTTGTAGTGAGCCAAGGTGGTGCTGCTGCACTCCACCCTGGGTGACAAAGCAAGACTTTTAAAAAAAAAAAAAAAAAGGCCAGGCATGGTGGCTCACACCTGTAATCCCAGCACTTTGGGAGGCCGAGGCGGGTGGATCACGAGGTCAGGAGATCGAGACCATCCTGGCTAACAAGGTGAAACCCCGTCTCTACTAAAAATACAAAAATTAGCCGGGCGTGGTGGCAGGCGCCTGTAGTCCCAGCTACTCAGGAGGCTGAGGCAGGCGAATGGCGTGAACCCGGGAGGCGGAGCTTGCAGTGAGCCAAGATAGCACCACTGCACTCCAGCCTGGGTGACGGAGCGAGACTCCATCTCTTAAAAAAAAAAAAAAAAAATTAAATAAGTAATGCAACTTCAGGTGACAAACATACAATATTCCTTCATTATATGTGTTTCACCTTTTTGCTCCATCTCCCTCTCCTCAACTCATAGTTGTTCTTCTTTCCATCTCTCCCATGTGTTTCTTTTACTTCTATTTTTTTTTCCTTTTTCCCTTCACATGCTTCCCTTTTTGTTCCGGTGCAATATACCACCAATATGCTCCATCTATGGCTAGAGGAATTTAGAAATCATCCTCTGAATCTAGGACATACAAGGATCAGAGGATAAATTAAAAGAGGGACAAAAGGCCACAGTTGAGGAGGAAAGACAACTGGGTTGAGGAGGCTCTGGAGACAGATAGGATAAATACAAGTGCAGCTGCGCTGGAGTGGTGGAGGGTAAGAGTAGTTCCAGCGGGAGCTGCCCCAACTTCACAGGGTACACTGCCTCCATCTAGCCTCCTCCCGTCCCCCTAGACCCCAACTCCCAAGGCAGTTTCTCAGAACATAGTCCTACTCTAGTCCATTTTGCAGTTAAGGAATGAAGGTAGAGGAGTCAATCAATTGAAGCCCAGTGAGATTAAATGACTTAACCAAGATCACACAGTTCGCACACTGTATGGTGCTCAGAAAATATCATTCTGAATGAATGTCACAAATGGAAATAGAAATCAAATATCCTCATCAAAAATATAAGATAAAATAAAAGAAGGCTGGGCATGGTGGCTCACATCTGTAATCCCAGCACTTTGGGAGGCCAAGGTGGACGGATCACAAGGTCAGGAGATCGAGACCATCCTGGCTAACACGGGTGAAACCCTGTCTCTACTAAAAATACAAAAAATTAGCTGGGTGTGGTGGCACATGCCTGTGGTCCCAGCTAATAGGGAAGCTGAGGCAGGAGAATCACTTGAACCCAAGAGGCGGAGGTTGCAGTGAGCCCAGATTGCGCCACTGCACTCCAGCCTGGGCGACAGAGCAAGACTCCACCTCAATAATTAATAAATAAATAAATAAATAAAATATCTTGGCTTCTGTTCCAGAGAAAAGCAAAGTTTTAAAAAAAGTCTTACCTAAATAGCTATTCAGTAGATTAGTGCCTCTGGTTGACTCAGACCAGGCTGAGTCCAACCAGGTGCCTAACTCAATGACTATGTGTCACTGGCCAGGCCCTCAGAGAAATACACAGCTTAATCAACAATCAAAAATGATCAGGCCTGGCACAGTGGCTCACGCCTTGTAATCCCAGCACTTAGGGAGGCCAAGGCGGGCGGATTACCTGAGGTCAAGGGCTCGAGACCAGCCTGGCCAACATGGTGAAACCCCGTCTCTACTAAAAATACAAAAATTAACCAGGCGTGGTGGTGCATGCCTGTAACCCCAGCTACTCAGGAGGCTGAGGCAGGAGAATCGCTTGAACCCAGGAGGCGGAGGTTGCAGTGAGCCGAGATTACACCACTGCACTCCAGCCTGGGCAACAAACAGAGTAAGATTCTGTCTCAAAAAAAAAATTCAAAGGCCAAAGAATATTAAACATTGTAGGAAGCCAACTAATATCTATTTTAATTACATCTAGAAATAATAAAAAGAATGTGTTCACTTTAGGCTGGGCGAGGTGGCTCACACCCGTAATCCCAGCACTCTGGGAGGCCAAGGCGGGAGAATCACCTGAGGTCAGGAGTTCGAGACCAGCCTGACCAACACGGAGAAATCCCATCTCTACTAAAAATACAAAATTAGCCGGACATGGTGGCACATGTCTGTAATCCCAGCTACTTGGGAGGCTGAGGCAGGAGAATCGTTTGAACCCGGGAGGCGGAGGTTGTGGTGAGCAAAGATCGCAACATTTCACTCCAACCTAAGCAACAAGAGCAAAACTCCATCTCGAAAAATAAAGAGTATGTTCACTTTAATTTCTACAGAACTTCTACAAAATGCTTTATACTTGTTTTCAATGTCCACAATATTATCATTAAGTAATAGATCACTAATTTCCATTTTGCATACATAAAAATGAAAGCATTTAGTTGCAAGAACACTGGTTAAAAATGTAAATCAGCCGGGCACGGTGGCTCACGCCTGTAATCCCAGCACTTCGGGAGGCCGAGGCAGGCGGATCACTTGAGGTTGGGAGTTCAAGACCAGCCTGGTCAATATGGCAAAACCCCATCTCTACTAAAAATACAAAAAAAGGAGCTGGGCATGGTGGTCTGCACCAGTAATCCCAGCTACTTGGAAGGTTGAGACAGGAGAATCACCTGAACGAACCAGGGAGGTGGAGGTTGCAGTGAGCAGAGATCATGGCCAATGTACTCTAGCCTGGGCAGCAGAGCAATTCTCCATCTCAAAAACAAAACCAAAAAAAAAAAAAAAAAAAAAACACAAAAAAACAAAATCTAAATCAGAGAGTAGAGCAGGGTAGGACACTTATTAGTTTTGTGACCTTGGGCAAGTCATTTAACCTCTGAGTTTCAGTTTCCTCATCAGTAAAATGAGGACAGTAGTATCTGCCATGCATACCTCACAGGACTGTGGTGATGATCAAATGGGAATGTATGGGAAGTGTTCTGAAAAACTGTAATGAGAGGTTTTATTATTATTATGACATATGAAAACGGAGGCCCTGGCAGATTAAGTGACTTGCTCAAAGATAAACAAATACCATTAAGTGTTATCAATCAAGACTAAAATGCAATAGCCCTTCAATCTACCACTTAGCCCATGACCTAGGTTTGCCTGTGGCAAGATTAAGTGAACAAACACTGCACATTTTTCTCCAAAGAGTTTAGTCTCTTTCAAGTACATCACTTGTATTTCATGTTCCAAGGAAGAAAGAATTATAAACTTTACGTTTATCATTATCAAATTGAAATTACCAAACGAGTTAAAAGATTATCCTAAGTTGTTAAGAAACACGCACACACCCCTACTAGATTTAGAGATTTAAAGAAAATTTTAAAATTTGACCGAGCATAGTGGCTCACACCTGTAATCCCAGCACTATGGGAGACCAAGGTGGGAGGATCACTTGAGCCCAGGAGTTCAAGACCAGCCTGGGGAACAGAGCAAGACCCCGTCTCCACAAAAAATAAAATTAGCTGGGCTTGATGGCGCACACCTGTAGTCCAAGCGACTCGGAAGGCTGAGGTAGGAGGATCCCTTGAGCACTGGAGTCTGAGGTTACAATGAGCTATAATCATGCCACCGTACTCTAGCCCAGGCAACAGGGTGAGATCCTGTCTCTAAAAGAAAAGTAAAATAATAATAAAAAGAAAATTTTAGGGTTGGGCGCGGTAGCTCACGCCTGTAATCCCAGCACTTTGGGAGGCCGAGGCGGGCAGATCACGAGGTCAAGAGATCGAGACCATCCTGGCCAACATGGTGAAACCCCATTCTACTAAAAATACAAAAAAATTAGCTGGGCATGGTGGCGCACACCTGTAGTCCCAGCTACTCGGGAGGCTGAGGCAGGAGAATCACTTGAACTCAGGAGGCAGAGGTTGCAGTGAGCCGAGATCGTGCCACCTGCACTCCAGCGTGGCGACAGAGTAAGACTCCATCTCAAAAAAAAAAAAATTTAAAATTTAAAATCACTGACATTTAATTTCCTGATAAAGTTCATTGCTATTTCTTTAATATACTACAATCTGATCATTTACAGTCCAATGGAAAACTTACTAGCATTTTATTTATAGTAAGGGTAGCTAGCTACCTGGTGTGATATAAAACCCTTTTATATTTTTCTTTTTTTATTCTCTTTCGAGACCGAGTCTCACTCTATCACCCAGACTGGAGTGCAGTGGCACAATCTCAGCTCACTGTAACTTCTGCCTCCCAGATTCAACCGATTCTCATGCCTCAGCCTCTCAAGTAGCTGGAATTACAGGCATGCACCACCACACCCAGATAATTTTTTGTATTTTTAGTAGAGATGGGGTTTCACCATGTTGGCCAGGTTGGTCTCGATCTCTTGACCTCGTGATCCACCCACCTCGGTCTCCCAAAGTGCTGGGATTACATGCACAAGCCACCGCGTCTGGCCTCAAATCCCTTTTATATTATAAAACCAAGTATAGGCCAGGCGCAGTGGCTCACGCCTGTAATCCCAATACTTACAGAGGGCTGAGGCAGGCAGATCGCATGAGCCCACGAGTTCAAGACCAGCCTGGGCAACATGGCAAAACCCTGTCTCTACCCCAAAAAAAAAGGAATACAAAAATTAGCCAGGCATTGTGACACACACCTGTAGCCCCAGTTACTCTGGAAGCTGAGCAGATCACTTGAGCCTGGGAGGTGGAGGTTGCAGTGGACCCAGATGGCGTCACTGTACTCCAGCCTGGGTGACAGAACAAGACCCTATCTGAAAACAAAAAAAAACCAAAACACAAGTGTAACCACTTTACAACGTTATATAATTATAACCACAGGTAATCTGAAATACATTTTTTCTAATACTGTTTTCTTCCTATTTTTAGAACTTCCTGAGTATAATTTTTCCTTGTACACTATGGGGAGTGAAGACTCCATCTTCCTTAAGCAGAAGTCTCTTTTTGGGAACTTGTGAGAGAGATGGTTATAAAAATAGGACAGGGTCAATGTGGCGGACCTTCTTTATCTGCTGGGTATTGGAGAACAGAGAAATGACAGGATCCACATGTTATTTTACAGTGAGTACTCTGATCAGCGGGCTAGATAAGAGAGACTAAGGGTAAGGAAAACAATGCAAAAGTTATTCCAGACTAAGAATGAGACGATAGAGCCTGTCTCTGTGGTAGGCACTAGGATGAAGAAGAGCAGATGTAAACAAGGAATATTTTTTCTTTTTCTTTTTTTAAACAAAGGTCCAAACAAAACTAACAAGGAATATTTTCAAAGGGAAAAACAACAGGAATTAGGGAAATAACTGGGGAAGATATTATCTTCATAAGCGAAGATAAAACTAAGGTTTGATATCACTGCTGTTACTGACAAGAATATGAGAGTTGGTTGTGAGGGAGCCACATCTTTGAGGAGGGTAATAATAATGTGCTCACCGTAACATCTGTGAATTTTGACAGGATAACAAGATAACCTAAGTGTGAATGATCAATGTGAGAGTTCTAGCAATTCATTGATGACAACCAACTCCAAATCTGGTAGATGAGAAGTGGAACAATTCAAGTAGTTATACCTGTTGCATCAAAAAATGAGTTTGGCTCTTGTTGTAATTCAAGCCCATCTTCATCCATGGCCTTTAATTCTCATCAGTCACAGCTCCTAAATCAGGGAAAAAAGTAAACCAAAGCCATTAGTTTTTTCATATCACGTACTGAACGCCACCATGATAGTTTCATTTCTGAGACACTCAAATTATGTGAAAGATAAATGTGTATCAAAAACATATCTAAAGTAAAATATAACTTAATTGATTTACAATGATAAATGGGCATCTATATGACAAGGCAGGGCAGATAAACAAGTCAACTTTGCCTGGACTTCTTTTTAAGTTGAAGCAATAAATGTATTGCTTACGTCCATCAAGTGCACATATTTTGATGAATTCTGATACATACATAAACCTTTGTAATCGCTACCTTGATCAAAATATAGAACATTTTTAAGACCCCAGCACTCCTGTGTCCTCAGTCTGTAACACCCCATGTTCCCACAAGGTAACCAGTTTTGTTAAGGTTCAACTTAAAATACATTCTGTAGCTTATTGGGGGAAATTTTTGCACAGTTTTCATATTCTGTATATTTAATTAGTCAAAACAACTTCCAACCAGATTAAACAACGATAAAAATTCAAAGTGCATAACTGTAGTAAACAACCTTTGGGATTCTGCCTAACCTCTCTTAACTAACCCTCTCATCTAGAAAAGTAAATTCCCACAGTGTATTTACACTCTCCTGGCCACAGTTGATTGGCACTAGCTATAAAGTAGTTAAAAAATAAGTTCATCTTTAAGCACAATAAAATCAAAGTCCTATCCCTGAGAATCCAAAACCATGAGCAAGAATCAGTGTTTGTCTGTCTGTGTGTGCCCCTCTCTCTCTCTCTCTCTCTCTCTCTCTCTCTCTCTCTCCTGGTGGCTGGAACTTAAGAGCTAAGGAAAGTCATTTTGCAACTCTGGCTTAGACTAGTGAATAAAAAATAAAAATAATCCTGTGAGTGCCTTGAGTAACAGAATAGGGTAAGTAGGGAGGGGACACAGCTTTTTAGTTCCTGGTTCTAGACCTATCTGAGGTACAGCTCTATTCTTGCCTTGAATTTTTATAAGACATTCCAATGGCCTTAATTCTCCCTTTTCTACTTAAGCCAAAAACTTATGACAAAAAGAACCCTAACCAATAATTTCACCTTTATCGTTTTTTTTTTTTTTTTTTTTTTTTTTGCTGATAAGTACTACATGGTTATTAAAATTTCAAATAACAGAAACACAAGTCATTTTTCTAAAGCTAGGTGACATCATTCCTCTTTTTCAAAAATGTTTAATGGCTTCTTGCTCCCTCTAAGTAAGTTCAAACACCTGTCATCTTCTAATTTCTGGCCCCAAACTACATTCCCATCATCATCTCCCCTAACTTTCCTTTAAGCACTTCCCTCTACCACTGTCAGCATGTACACAAACACACGGCCCCCACCCACATGAAGTTCAGCCAAACAAAAATGCTCAACATCCCCATAAAACCCCAACTTCATATTTGATTCAGGGTTCCTTCTACCTGGAACACCTTTCCCCCAATATCTCTGCTTTGATCTTTCCCCCCAAATCTCCTTCCCTCCAAAAAAAGAGAAAGCTGGAAATAATTTTTCCCTCTGAAATTTCCACAGCACTCTATTCTTCTCTTATTGCACTGGTTTGTCATATTATAATTATTTATATATGTCTTATTTACAGATACCAAATTACATATATAGTCCTTAAAAAATCCATTAACATGGAATAGTAGTGGAAATATCCATTAAACGTTAATTGAGAAAAATTAACATTCATAAAAGGGATTCTCGGCCGGGCGCAGTGGCTCAAGCCTGTAATCCCAGCACTTTGGGAGGCCAAGATGGGCGGATCACCTGGCTAACACGGTGAAACCCCGTCTCTACTAAAAAATACAAAAAACTAGCCGGGCGAGGTGGCGGGTGCCTGTAGTCCCAGCTACTCGGAAGGCTGAGGCAGGAGAATGGCGTAAACCCGGGAAGCAGAGCTTGCAGTGAGCTGAGATCCGGCCACTGCACTCCAGCCTGGGCGACAGAGCGAGACGCCGTCTCAAAAAAAAAAAAAAAAAGGGATTCTCAACATATCAACTCTGAGATACGGTCTACTCATTTTTAAGAAATAGCATGTTTCATGTTGTTTATTCAAACTGTTTCAAATTAAAGTAAATGGGTTGGGTGCAGTGGCTAACGCCTATAATGCCAACACTGTGGGAGGCCGAGGTGGGTAGATCACCTGAGGTCAGGCGTTCGAGACCAGCCTGGCCAACATGGCAAAACCCCTCCTCTACTAAAATACAAAAAAATTAGCAGAGTATGGTGGTGCATGCCTGTAATCCCAGCTACTTGGGAGGCTGAGGCAGAAGAATTGCTTGAACCCGGGAGGCGGACGTTGCAATGAGCCAAGATCATGTCATTGCACTCCAGCCTGGGCGACAGAGTAAGACTCCGTCTCAAAAAAAAAAAAAAAAAAAAAAGGAAAGAAAGAAAGAAAAAAAGTTAAAGCAAATGAAAAACAGAAAGTGTACATGCTCTGAAAAAGTTATTACTGCCCTACTCCCGCAAAACCACCTCTGGCTATAGAATAGCTTTTCCCCCTTTTAAAAATGATAAACGTAAATTAATCTTCTAAGCATTGGCCGGATGTGGTGGCTCACACCTCTAATCCCAGCACTTTGGCAGGCTGAGGTGGGCCGATCACCTGAGGTCAGGAGTTCTAGACCAGCCTGGCCAACATGGCGCAACCCCATCACTACTAAAAATACAAAAATTAGCTGGGCGTGGCGGCGGGTGCCTGTAATCCCAGCTACTCGGGAGGGTGAGGCAGGGAGAACTGCTTGAATCCAGGAGGTGGAGGTTGCAGTGAGCCGAGATTGCACCACTGCACTCCAGCCTGGGCTACAGAGCGAAACTCCGTCTCAAAAAAAAAAAAAAAAAATCTTCTAAGCATTATGAAACACTATGACATTAAAGCAAGCCAATTAAGAAGGCAATAAAGGAGATACATTAAGGTATGTAAGCCCCTCACCGCACAAATTTCCCTACATAAACCCAATCCCATCAGCTCTATGAATTCTCAACCTGCAGAACAACTTTTCTTGGCATTCGTCCTCCTTGGCATTTCTATTAGAGTTTAACAATCAACTCCCTAATTTGTGAAGTGCTCTCCTTCCTCCGTTGCTTCAAGTGACTTCTAGTTCTCTTCCCTTCTTAAATGCTGGCTGCTATGCCTTCCCTCACCCGGTACTGCAGTGCTCAACCCTCTTCTCTTCTGCTTTCTCTTTATTCCCATGGTTTCAACTACTATTTCCACAACAATTATTCCTAAAATCATCCTAACATGTCCAACAGACTGTTGAATATTGTCATCCGGATAAAACCCAGCCTTCTGATATGACCACTATGGCCTTTTTCTTCTTCTCTGCTCACAGTCAGATTGCCAGATATTGTCAATTCTCCTCAACTTCTCAAGAATCCATCCTTTTTTTTTCTTATTCCTAGTTACTATTCCCACTCGGCTTCATATTTCCTGATCCCTGGGGGATGAAAATAGCCTCTGGACTGGCCTTACTCCTTTCTGCCACTCCCACAACAAATGACTAGAAACCCTATTATCACACGTAAGGGCTGGTGCCAAGTATTGAGGCATTTCTGCAATCTGTAGGCAGATTAACCCTCCTGAGCACTGCTTTGATCATAGCACTTCGCTGCTCTGAACACTTCAGCAGTTCCTCAATACTCAGGGGCTCTACAATATTAACCCAAGCTACCATTAACAGACTGATTTGCTTTCTTCCCATCCTTTTATATCATGTGCATTTCCTAACAGATATTCTGGCCTACATGGGGGTGCCTACTCATCTCAAGTGAGCAGTAATTATTCAACAAACTATTGTTTTGCTGGTCATTTTCCCTTGTTTTGTCATTACAAAAATTCAAACATTCTAAACAGAGATGACTATACCTCAACTTTGTAATCCCTCTGGAGTCAGAATACTAATTCCCTTTGACAATCAGAATGAAACTGTGTTCTCAGAACAGAAGCTACTCAGGAGTTCTCAGATGTAACAAAGGAAGGGTGGAAGAAGGTACGTGATAACGCAACTGACGGTATCCATGCCTCTGTAGTACAAACCAAATCCAGAGATCAGTGGAACCTAAAGACAAATAAGCAGGATGGTTCAGAGAACCAAGAATCTCAGAATTTGGGTGAACAAGTACTAACATTTAGTCTTACTATCAAATACCCTCAAGGTATTTCTGGGACTCTACTAACACCTCAAATTCAGTAAGACATTCCCTTCCCAGTTACAAGAATCATGATCCTGAAAATGCTTCTGAAATAATTCACAGTGGAAAAACATAGTTTTTGGGAACACATTGTGAGGGCAGAAAGTAAAAAAAAAAAAAAAAAGAAAAGAAAAACATATAGTTTTAAGGGAAATAATGGGCTCGGAGAACCCAGGAAATTCACAAAAATTTCCTTCCATTCTTTAAAATAAAGCAATATCATCCTAGAAGAAGGGAATTATAAATAAAATATATAATAAAGCAATAAAAGTTAACAGGTATAGCAATGGCATTTTATCTATCTTAAATTAGGGATCACGGATGTAATTTATTTGTTTTATATTTTGATGCTTAGACACTTCTGTGATCTCCCTCTTGGGCAAGTTAACAGGATTCTTATTTATTCACTTTGCTTTTTGCAGCTAATATGCATATAAAAATCACTTTTCTGCTTTTGGTCTCCCAAAACCTCAATGCCTGTTAATTCTGTGACTCAACTCTAATTCTTCTCACTAAGTCACACTCAGAGAACCAAATTTTATTATACATAGTAGAAGGAATGCTTAAGCTGCAGCAAAGGAAACAAAGGCAAATGTGTCTATAACAATTTTTCTTAGAGGGAAATTAGAACTGGTGAAAACCTGTATTTAAGATCTAATTAACATCTTCTCTCTTAAGCTACATTTCTTTCCTAATTTTTCCCCCATGTTGTTCAGTGTTAGCCATCATTTCTCTAGATATCTCATTTTCAAATCTGGAGTCATATTTCACT